ATAATAATAATAATTATAATTATATTTACGGCACACACAAAGTGAGAGAGAGAGAGAGAGAGAGAGAGAGAGAGAGATACACACACAAATCACTGATCGCCAATTAGTAAGTATAACATTAGCGCAAGCAAGTAGCTAGCAATTTATAATGAACTTGCGAATAATGCTTAACAAATGTTAAATGTTTCATCATTTCAACACGTACAATTATAGTACACACACATGCACGCACGCACACACACACACAACAAACAAACACACGCGAACGCACACACACGCATATACTTTTTTTTGTTTAAATTTAGGTATATGTATGTTTTTGCTCATTTTGTTTGTCTGTTTGTTGTTTTGCCGTTCGATCGTTCGTCATTTTGTTTGTTTGGGTGTGTATTTATGTGTGTGCGTGCATATGTGTGCGTGCGTGTATGCGTACAATTAAGATCTGACACTTGATTTCGTTTCGCGGTTATATAACAAGCAACACGTGTCCGTCAGTTTTAATGTTTTTTCGCGAAAATATTTCTCTCATGTTTTCAATTGACCGATATTGTTTATATTCATACATACATATATACAAACAAACAAACATACAAACATATACAAACAAACCTACATACATGCATACATAAGTACTACTTGCATACAAACAAACATATATACATACATACAAACTTTGCATACATACACGAAGAGAAAATCAAGTAAAATCCGCTTGTGTCCGAAAAAAATTGAATAATTTATGTGTTGCTGACATGCTAGGTTGTAAGTGTTCAAGTATTGGCGGGTATTTTAATTGAAAGTATTGGTGTGTATTTTTTTCAAAGCAGATGCATGTATGTATCTTTGCGTTGAGGTATTTATTCTACGTATACAAATATATCGCACACACACACATGCACACACACCTACATACTTTCACACGCACGCACGCAGACGCACACACGCACACAGGCGTGAACATAAACAAACAACGTTCACACATCACTAAATAGAACAGAAATTCTCAATCTATCGACATTTAACACGCGAACGTATTAATTACAAAACGAACGACGTACCAACGAATGAACGAACGAACGAACGGACAAACAATTGAATAAATGAATTATAGAAAGATAAACAAACAAACAAGCAAATGAACGAACAAATGAATGAATAAACAAATAAATAAACAAACGAATAGAAGAATGGATAAAAGAGCGAAAGTATCAATGAATGAACGTAACAAATAATAACAATTAAGCGAACAAACGAATGAACAGACAAACAACAAACAAACCATTAAACATGAGAATCAAATGAATGTGCGTGCGAACGAAAATAGAAGCAGTCAATTAGACTTGGAGCAAACATCATTACCCTA